CCCCCCCCCCCCCCATGCCCAGAGAGCCCCGCCAGGGGCATCGAGGTCTGGCACCCGTATACTACGTGGGAGGACGCAGACCTGGGGCACATGGCTCCCACGTACCCCTAGCCAAAGGGCTCCATCCAGCCCAGCATGCGCTCACTGCGAGGAGGACGCAGCCTCAAGGCACACGCGCCCCGCACCCTGCCCCGCGCCCCGCGCCCAGATAGTCATCGTGGGATGGCATCTCGCAAATATTTATATTCCTCAACGCCACGGCAGCCCGCGTCCACATTAGACGCTCTAATCCTGCCACTTTAAATAGATGAATTAATAAAGCAAACGAGCGGCTAATAAGCTGACTGTCCTGCCTTTTTGAGGCGGGGGAAGGACTCGAAAGTGCGCCAAATTTGTTTGCAGTGGATCAAGGCGAGCCGCCTCTGCTTCACTTTCTTTATCTTAATTCCGACTTGAAAAGATATAATTATCTAGTTTGAACAGAGCTGCTATCAAATCCTTCTTTGGGCCGGGAAGGGGGGCGTTGGAGTGGATTGCGGCTCTCTGAGCCGCTCGGTGCAGCCGGAGATAGCGCGTAATGAAGATATGGAGGCCCGAGATACAAAGGGCATTAACCTCATTAGCATGAAACCTTTTCTTCTTACCATTGTGGGACCCTTTCAGCCGCCTAATCCCCCCTATTTTCAAAGCTTGGTTTGTAATAAAGCTTTTAGGTTTTTTTTTTTTCAAAGCTAATAGTATTCTCTGATGATTTTATTGCTGTTACACTACATAGGACGTTTACCAAAAAAAAAAAAAAATCTTTGCCACTCTTTCCCTTTTCTTGTACTTAAAAAAAGTAGATGGTTTCTGCAGAAATAAGCCTTTTATTAAGATGGGGGGGATTTTTTTTTTTTTTTCTGCAAAGGCCAGTCAGAATTTTAGCATGTGCTCCATGTTTGAGGCATTCTGGGTTTGGGGAAATGTGTGGAAAGGAGAAGGTAACTTGTTTAAGAAAAGGGGGTGGAGTGGGGTAGCAGTGACTGCCAGGCACGAGGGACGGGACAGCCATCGGACAGGGAGGTCTCCCTGTTAAAGCAGCTGGAAATCCAACTTGAGTTTCCAGGATACCTAGGGCAGCACCTGTCCCTTTGAGAAGCAAGCCTGGGTCTCTCCGAACAGCTCGCCTCACCCTGGCATGCCCCTGCGGCCAAACGTTCCCCACAATACACACACCTTCCCAGGGTAGTCTGCATGAAAATGTACCGTGGACAGCCAGGGTGCTCCAGAGGAACAGAGATGGAGACAAAAAGGAGGGACGGGGCAGAGATAAAGAAAGAGAGCGAGAGAAACCAAGAATGAATTCTACTTTACAAGAGAGGAGGGGAGGAAAAAAAAGAAAAATTTCCATAGTGCCCTATAGTCCCCACACGTGCATGGAATGTCTAATCTTAACTTTTCAAGGCAGGATGTTAACAAAGCTTGTATTTTTGCCCTGCATTGTAACTTGGCCTTATCACAGTGTAAAGGGTGGGGAGATTGTCCTAAATTATGTCCAGGCAGCCCCCCTGGATCCGTGGATTAAGAGATTAAAGGAGACCACTGGGCAAGGCCTCCTCTTTCCCCTTCATATTCCTGGTATGATAATTGCTTAAACTGATTTGCACTTTCACAAAAGCTCGCAGGACGCTTTGTAGCTCGAACAGAACAGACGAGGTTTCTCTATCAATGGAAATAAAACTGATTAATGCAGCCTATCAGGATAAGAAGCAAATGAAGCATGCAAAAACAACCTCGTACCCCCAGAAGGGGGAAGGAGGAGGAGAAAAAAAAAAAGCTAAGTTTCCTCCAAGACTGGTTACAACTTTTTCTTTAATGTTAAAATTAAGAGTTGAAGGTTTCTCAGAATGCTTGCCTTATAAGGCTGCTGAGGCCCTTGGGCTTGCCTCATCACCTTCAGCAGACTGGGGCTGGAGAGATGAAGGAAGGAAGGAAGGAAGGAAGGAAGGAAGGAAGG